TTTTTTTTATCAACTCCTGAGTTTTATAATGATTTTTAATTAAAAAATTTTAATTAAGTAGTTAAAGTTGAGTTAAAAATTATGTTTAGTAATTAATATGAGTATTTAAAAAAAATTGTATATAATCACATTAAGAAAAGAATATTAAGAAAATTTAAAAAAACACTCAATATTAATTTTTATTTCATATATCTGTTTCTTTTTCTCTACTATTATTCTATTTAAAAATTTAAATAATATTTTCTTTTCTCTCAATTAAAAAACTATAATATAATTAAATAAGATTAAATACCTATATGTCGTATGTGTATTGTACGGAATCATATGTACATATAAATTTTTATTATTGTTGATGTTGTTGTTATTATAATAATAATAATTTTTAAAAAAAAAAATAATGAAATTATATCATTTTAATAAAACACCATAAAAAAAGACAAATAACCTTATTCATACTTTATTAAAACAATATAATTTTATAATGTTTTTTCTCATAATCTTTTTAAAGAGTCAACTGATAAATATTTTTCTCATATGTATATATAGACAGAGATAAAGAGAAAATAAAAAGAAGAATTCAAGCAAAAATGACATAATTTGAGAATGTTTTTCTCCTAATTTAGCAAAATTAAAGAAAGACATGGGAATGGGGAATCAGCTTCAAAAAGACAAATCCACTCAGGCACGGGACTGTAATCACTCCCTACACCGAGCCTAGCCAACCAAACTAACAAGGCACTAGGACCGAAGGAGGCACACGAAAGGGGTGGTGTGGTAGTTGACCCCGAAAAAGCTAGTGGAAGCAAGGCAGGTGGACAATGTATGGTGGAATAGGAAAACAATGCCTCCCTGGAAGAATTATTGGCTAAACTCTCAATTTTGAATTACAAAGAAAAAGAGGTGATTGCCAGACAGAGCAAGAATGAAACTACACTAGAGATGAACACTGCCTAGTGAGACGATCCTTTATAAGAAAGTACGCTAATAAGGACGCTAATGCAACATGGATGACTAGACTCTTGAGAGATATATATGAAGGTTGGCGAAAGGCCTAAAAATCAGAGGGGTTGGAGAAAAAATATGCTTCCTCCATCTCAAATTACTTATTAGTTATTACTATAATTAATTTGCTCGTAACTTTATCTAGTGCCTTTACATAGCATAAGAATGATTATTGAAAAATTTTTGTTTTAATACGTTGTTCTTTTTTAAGTAGTTTCAATATTTGATCAAAAAATATTTTTAATTACCATTCATATGCTATATATATAAAAATATTACTTAAAATTTTGTGTAAACTTGTTATAAAAATAGATAATTTGAGACAGAAGTAGCATACTTTTACCTATGAATCTCTCTATGATCGAAAAAGGGTGCTATAGCAAGATCTATGACCATTCAATAAAAGGCCACTTGTACTACGAGCCCCAGATCCTCTAATACCACCATGGAGCATGGACTTCTAAAAGTTTACATTTTGGATGAATTTACAAGGATTATAGTTAAGAAGGCGTACAGAAAGTGCAGTTTGGAGCATTGGTGAGAAAGCAGGAGAGGTTGTGGAGATAGATGTAGGAATACGTATAATGGTTAACGGTCCATTCTAGGGAACACTCAAGCAAGATTTGAATCATTCAAATATGAATTCTTGCCTGAAATTTGCAGAGTCTGCAATTGCCTGTATCACCCTAAGCAAGATTGCGAGATTAAGGTGCAAATTCTTAAAGAGACAGGAACTTTCTTGAGGATGTATGACAAATGATTGGGTCTAGGATGAGAGGAAGGAGAGGAAGACCACCACTTAAAGGGAAAATGAATAAGAGCATGATATAACAAAACAAAGGCTAGCAACATGATTAAGAACAGTAACAAAGGAGAGCAAGCAGAAGGAGAGGGATCATGTAAGAGGAGAAAAGGCCCAAATGGTGAATTAATAGGCCAATCCCAAGGAAGACTAGCCCTTCGACAAAGTTATAGGTTATTTAGCGATTAAAACAACATACACTAGCTCTAGCATCCAAGTTTAGCTTGGTTTCAAAGTCTAGACAGAGACCCATAGTAACTTGACCCCATTTATCTTTGGTTGTTTCCTCATCTTTTACATAAATATATTTTTTAAGAACAAGGTAATATAAAATAGTTAGGTAGAATTAGTCTTACTTATTAACCAAATGACCGCGATAAAATTTGCTGAACTCTTATGTTGATTTTGATAATAACAAAATCATTTTAAAATATTTAATATGTTTTGTGCAAGTGTGCAAGATATTTTAATTTATTTAAGTGTCAAAATTAAAGTAACTTGGAAAAGATGAAAATATGAACAATTCAATATACAGTTTACCAAAGGAAGATAGAGTTAACTATCAAAAAATAAATTCCTAAAGAGTCAACTTTAAAAAATTATAGTCAATTGTAATGGAGATTGAAGTGTCAAATCTTTAAACTAATCAAATTATTTAAAACTTTGTCATAAAGTCAATTAGAAAAAACCAAAGTTAACTATAAGAGCTATAGAGTCAACTCTAAGAGCTATAGAGTCAACTCTACCTGACTAAAGTCAACTAAAGAAGGAAATTTGACGATGAAAACAAAAAATTCAAAATGTGCTCTTGGTGGGCTATATAGTTGACTAAAGGGAAATATAGTTGACTGTAAGGACTATGGACTTTAAGAAACTATAGTCGATTGTAGTGTAAAATGCATTTCAAGCACAAAGAATTTAGAACTAATCACAAGAATGACATTCTATCAACTTTAGGAAGGTATAATCAACAACTATAGGTCAAATTCAATTACCTCTGGAAGTCATAATTTTAAATTGAGAAGTTGCAAGAAATTACAAAATATGCATGGAGTCAAACCTAGAAGGCTATAGTCGACTATAGGTCAGAGATCAGAACTTCAAGGAATGAGCATGTCAATCATTTAATGCACTTCATGATGTCCAAACAGCTAATTTTGATTTGGAGAGGATAAATAAGGTTGGTGTACACATTTATGAAGCTCTTAGACACTTTCATTCAACGCATTCAACTACCAACTTATGCTTTCGCTTGAGAAACATTCAAATTCATGCGCTTTGACTTGTTTATGTGATCATGGAGTGATCTTATCTAGTAATCCTCTACTCATATTCTTTGAGAGATATCTTAATTAGGGGTATGTTTATTTTTTTCAAGAGTGATTTGTAGTGAAGATTGTTGAGTTTGTTTTGTAAAAAGGTTTGATTTTTGAGAAAACCCATTTCTTGTAAAATGATATATTGAATAACTCCTTTAAACTACTTTTATTCATTCTAGTGGAGAATATGGAGACAATCCTTAATGATTGAAGCCGAGATAAAGGATTACATGCCAAATGGTTGAACTAAGCCTCTATGAAATCTTTGTGCATGATCTTTTTTCATTTTCTCTTTAATTTTCACTTTTATGGTTGCAAAAAGTAGAAAATTTTAGAACTCCAATTCAACCTTTCTTAGAGTGCATTGAGCAACAAAATTTTCACATTCCATGTTATTTGAGTTTTGTTTGTAGGCTTCATGACCCATTTTCACTGAGTAATAATACAATTACCATTTGATAATCTTAAATTTGTTATTGTGGATAAAATGAGAATTGTCATTGTGTAGATTGAATTAATTGCTAGTAATGAGCTGAATTTATATATATATATATATATATTAATGTGAAATTTATGCTTTAATATTATTGATATTTGAATTTTATAAGATTTTATTTAATTTTATATAATTTTCTTTTACAGAAAAGGACATAATTGGAAGAAATTGTAACTTTTAAGACCAAAATGCAAAGATAAGAAATATAGAATTAGATTGTGCAGAAACTGGAAGATATGGACCAGCTCTGTCATTCTGCCATTAACTAAAATTACTTTAAAGGCCAAAATCCCGACATGGACTCTTCTTCGGTGATATAGTGAAGGTGTCGGTACTTTATTTCCTGTGTCGACACCTTAGGTGACTTCCAGCACTTTAATACCAAGTCCTT